GTACCGGAACATTGGGTGTTCGATGATGACAACACCATATGCCATTTTCCACCTGTCAAAGGTTTTAGACTTTATGAAATTATTAAAAGTGGCACTTCTCCAAAAGAGGATTGGAAGGTGTATGATGTCAATATGTTAGCAAAATATGGTTTGTATTAGTTTTGGTTCCCAATCACAAAATTTTGTTAATCTACATTTAATTTTTAGATGATTTTACATATGCCCAAACACAATGTGAAGCAGCTAGAAATGGGAAGAAAATTTTCAGCCAAAAAACAAAGACAATGCTTGATGGCATGGATGGAAAAGGACAGAGAATACGTAAACCTAATACAAAATTTAGTGAGTTTATGAACATTAATACAGATGACGAAGAATTAAATACTAATATAACATTTCCAACATTTAAAGGATCTAGTATGTATACACATTCCCCTATCTAAAAATTATTAACTTGATTGATTTTTAGATCCGAAAGAGTGCAAACAAAATACAGCAGGTAATATTGTGCTTTAAACTTCCGAGTTTGTATTTCATTGTTTCACATTTTAGATAACAATAAAGTAACAGAGAATGTCCCAGAGGATTTCTATACAGAAAGTGATAATGTATTAGAACCCTATACAGCACAGAGTGAAACTAGTGAAACTTCACATCATTCCAGTGCGTATGTTTCCATGATTATAAATTTTATTTTTGTAATTTTCAGATATAATGGATAATAATTATTTTTAAGGCTCTGAAGTTTTCATTGGTAGGAGGAGAAACGGCAAAAGATATAACACGAAGAATATTATATTTAATGTTAACAAATGATGTGGCAAAACTGTATAGTTTTGACGGAGCAAAAGGAAAATTAAAATTTAAATCTTTGAAACTGTATCATTTGTTATTAGGTAAGTTATAGCAATGCATTTTTAACTCATATTTCTCTTTACCTATGTTTTACAGCATCAATTCGGAAGAATCAAAAAACGCATGACGCAACAGAAAGCGACATACTACCAGAAATCAGGCAGTGGCTGGCACAAGCAAAATTTAGGAAACAAAAATAATTTTATACTTTATTTTTGTTTTAAATACTTACAAAATAAAATCCATTTTATTGAAATCTTTTGAGTAATGTATGTACTCGTAGAAAACCACAGGTGCACCCTTTTTAAATTATAGTAAGCTATTTAAATTTTGTTTCAGCCTTTGGTTAAATTTGTACCTTTGTAAATAAGAAATTTGTTAATATTTACAAAGGTACAAATTGTACTGAAAGCTCTAATAATATGTAAGTAGGTCATCAAAATCAAAATGCAGGTTTAAATGTTTATGGAATATTAAGAAATATTTGGAACAATATGATATAAATGTATTACAAACATTATAACAACATTATCAGAAAGTATGCCAATATTATGATAGCATTTATACATGTTTTACAAATATTTAAAAAATATTTTAGTAAATGTGTAGAAAATATTAGAAGTGGGACATCTAGATGTTTCCTAAATGTTTTGAAAAGGTTTCGAGGCAAATGTTAAATATTCTACCAATATTTCATAGATTTGAACAAAATCTTTATTATATGTTATAGATATGTTGGTGTGCTATGTGGGATTGGATGGTCTGTGCTCTGCATTTTGCGTGAAATTCTGTTTTCTGGATATCCTTACATCTTTATTCAATAACAAACGATAAATAAAACGGATAAAACCACATTGATTAGTGTGTAGTGTAGTGTACATTTGTGTACTAAATATTTGAGCTGCAAAAGCAATAATGGCGGATGAGGTAAGTTTTAAGTAATATTAAAATGTTCTACTCTACAAAAATTTGCGTTTATGCGTACAAATGAAATGTACAGTACAACTGCACAAGGTACTGCCTACAAAATTAGATACCTAGATGTAGATTTTTATCAAATTCTGGAATAATTTTTTATAGGTTAGAAATTCTTGTGATACATAATCTGTTTTAGATTGCAGTAGGTAATTAAGTTTATGATCAGATTGAACCACAAAAGACCTACTGGGAAATGCAACTACCTATGTAGAATATAATAATAATAACAATTGAACTATTCGGAAGCAAATAACTACATTAACAATCTCGCTCAAGTTTTGTTTAATAGCATTGCCCGATTTTGAGTCTAACTATAACTCAAAATTTAGAAATACAATAACGACTGTAAAGGGTGCGCGGCATTATAATTTGTATGTTGAAAGAGGGTAAAACATTTTTTTAAATTTTTAATATGTCCTGATTTTGTCGTTATAAACTCGTATTATAAATTGTTCTTAAACATCATACAACACAACTATGCAGAAAATGCGATCATAAATTAGTTGTGGATTCAGCACAGCTTTTATTTGATGAAAAAAATTCGAGACAACAAAAAGAGTTCGTTGCACGGCACAGAAGTTCCCCTGTAAGAATAGCAAATGGTGGTCCAGAACTCATTTTTGATCGGACAGTGCTCTACTTGCACGTTTTGTTGTATGATGTTTACGTTCTATCACCACCAAATCGTGTGGCAATACCGCATACAACATACAAATTATAATGCTGCAGCCTACATTTAACCGATGCAGTCCCAACAAAACAACTATGTTCCTAGTCCAATCTGGCGCTGATTAACTAGTTTGAATTTTATTTAGAGAGTTCCAATTCCAAGAAGGAAGCCATATTCAAAAATGACTCTTAATTACCTAAAACGATGCATTAAGAAAACTTCTCAAATAAGGTCGAAACCAACTGATTCGTCATTACCAAGTACTTCAGCCTCGACTTCAGCAATACCTCATGTACCATCTAGTTCAGGTCATTCGTCTCCTACTTTAATTGTCGATGATGGTGACAGTTCTAGTTCTAGCCTCGGTTCTAGCTCTACTAGTGACGTTTCTGTGAGACATTCGATTTCCATAAATAGTGAAGAGACAATTTTATTTAATGATTCTTCTATAAACTCTAATTTTAATTTTCGGAATAAACTGTGTGAATGGGTTGTGAAATCTCATACTCCTCAGTCACATGTTACAGATCTCTTAGGTATTTTGAAGAAAATCACTGATTTAAATGAAGTGCGAAATCTACCCAATGATTGTAGAACGTTGATGAAAACTACACAACAAAAAAATATTACCACCTTTGAAGGTGGTTGTTACTTTGGAATTAAAAATGGTATAATTTATATTTTAAATAAATTTAATATGGAGAAGGTTAATATAATTAAATGCGATATAAATGTTGATGGTTTACCCCTAACAAAAAGTTCCAATTCGCAGTTTTGGCCTATTCTTGGATACATAAATGTCTCTAATGTAGAAGCAGCTGAACCATTGGCAATTGGGGTATATCATGGCCATAAAAAACCTAATGCTGGAGAGTTTTTAAAACAATTTGTGGAAGAGGGCATGGCTCTAGAAAAATCAGGCGTCGAATTTAAAAACAGAATTGTGCCATTTATGTTTTCAAAATTTATATGTGATGCTCCTGCAAAAAGCTTTATTTTATGTATTAAAAATCATAATGCATACTCCAGTTGCACAAAATGTACTACTGAAGGAACTTTCTTTAAAAACCGAATGACATTCCCAGAACGGTCTGCTACTTTGAGAACAGATGCCAATTTCAGAGCTAATATTTATGAAGATTTTCACACTGGAAAAACCCCATTGGAAAAATTAAACATTAACATAATTCGTCAGTTTCCGCTTGATTACATGCACTTAGTTTGTTTAGGTGTTGTAAAACGTTTGTTATCATTCTGGATTAAAGGCAATATAGCGATTAGGGTTAATCGGGATGATTATGAAATCATTAATTCGACATTGCTTAACTTAAGAAATTATATACATCCAAAGGACTTTGCCCGAAGGCCACGAACTATGGACGAATTGGACAGATGGAAAGCTTCCCAACTAAGGCAGTTTTTACTTTACACAGGCCCTATTGTTTTAAAAGATAGGATACATGATGACCAGTACACCCATTTTATGACGCTCCATTGTGCAATACGTATTTTAACATCGCCAACTTTATGTACAAAATATAATGATTATGCAAAGCAACTTATGCATTATTTTGTTGAGAATTATGGAATGCTGTATGGTAACGAATATGTTACTCACAATGTCCACAATCTCATTCATTTGTCAGACGATGTTTTAAAATTTGGCAGTTTGGACAACTTTAGTGCCTTCAAATTTGAAAACCACATGTCGGAGATAAAAAGAATGTTACAAACTTGCAATCGCCCACTTGAACAATTTATAAACAGGACTCTGGAAAAACGATCGTATTTAACAACACATAATAAGTCTCCTGAAATAGAATTTTATAAGAAATTGGACGTACATTACGAACCTCTTCTTAACAATGAGCTGGTAGAATCGTATCAATGTTTTAAATATGGAAATATGTTCTTGGGAACCGCAGACAATCTGTGCTTCTGTAACCTTACGGATGGATCAATAGTGAAAATTGTCAGGATTCATAAGAAAATTGAAACAAGTGAAGGGTTCATTATTTTTAAAAAATGTGATCATTTACAAGAATATTATTCAAAGCCATGTTCTTCAACTTTGTTTAATTGCGGTATTGTACAAACAGTTTCTCATACATTACAAATCGCCCATATCAACAATATTAGGACAAAATTACTAAATTTTGACAATATATTAATGTCCATTATTCATAATAAGGAATAGGTTTACAGGAATATTTAGTTTTGTTAATGTAAGACTTGCGTAGTATTATTATTATTTCAAATGTAGAATTTTAAATTTTATTTCATATCTATCTAAGTATGTATATGTAGGTAGATATCTAAATTTTTGTAGAGAAAATTCATACAGGTAATTTTTACTTTTTTATAAATATTTATACAGGTTATTCTTTTGTAGTTACCGTATTGCGTTTTGGGTTTTTTTTCGCAAGGCAAGGAATTCGTATCTGCTGCGCCCACAAAATGGTTGCAAAGAAAAAACGAGAAGGCATTTGTAGTTTGGCCGCCAACAAAAATTGAACGAAAGGCGCCATCATGACACGAATGGAGTCAGGTGCTGATTGGGTAATTTTTGATAATGTGAAGATATTTGGCAACTATCACAGCTACAAAGAAGCACTGTACCAAGAATCCAAAACCGCCAATTATTCCTCGGAATCGGAGGTGGACCTTGGACCCCGGAAAAGAAAACCCAATAGTAAATATATTGACAACAGCCTGTCATCTCCACCACCACTACCAACTGACCTAGATAGTGGTAAGTAATTTAATTTTTCATTCTTTGACAATATATATTGTCCTAAGTTGACCAAATCAGAAAAATTTAAATATCGCTTTGTCGATCAAGAAATAAGTCAATTGACTGATTTTGCATGACATTGGTGTGTTTTTGAAAAAGCAAGTGTTGTTATTAGCTGAATTTTGACGGGGGTATTATTTTCTGCAAAATTTTCCATTAATTGTAACGCCCCGTGTATATTCATTAGGTAGATTAGATAGGTTAAATTGTTTTCTTTTGTTTAGTCAATATAGTAGATACTTTAGCGTAGGTTAGAATATAGATTTTACGGAATTCGAAAAAAAAAGGGTCCGGCAATAACATCACACGTGTGTCCACCGGTCATGGGACAGTTACGTTAAAACCAATAAGACAACATAAACAACTCCGTGTCAGCATTTCTGAGTAAATCGACCTGAACCAGAAATATAAAGTGTCAGATCTAGGCGGGTATGTATTAGACTTTGCTATTGGGGGCGTCAAGAGGTCCTTTGTCGCTTAATTAATCCTCCAATTTTTGGTTGCTATTTATTACCGAAACTAACAGGGCTCATTTATACTATGTCCCATATATAATTCGAATCGAACCGTATCGATCGCTAACAACGGCGATTCCTGGAAAAGGGAATTTTTTTTTGTGGTAAAGCGGACGGAGAATTGTAATTTAATTTGAACCAATCAGGGCGATTCGGCCTCAAGGAATTCAAAGTTAATTGGAGATTTTGGGGCGCGTGGTAAAATTCGGGCGTGTCAAAAGGAAAATCACAGGGGGATAGTTTGAAAGTAAAGAGGAGAATTATCGCGGCGATCGTGGAAGTCACCACGCCGCCGATAATATAGGTTTTGCTTAATTTTTCCGGTGAAGTACAGACGCCGGGAACTATTTGGTGAATGTCAGAAAGTGGCACATCGCGAAGGCGCTACCCTGTACCTCAATTAAATTGTTAAGTTCCGCGTCCGGCAAAGGGTTTTGGTACGGGTCGAGGTATAAATAAATTGGTTAAGAAGTGATTAGTAAAGGGCGGTCGATACGGTGAGAATCGGTGATTTTAGTGCGGTAAAGGTGCTCACTGGAAATCGTTTCGAGCATAAGCAATAAGTGTCGACTTTTCCCCGGACCACCGGGGTAACCACTATTTACTTGCCCATGATCACACCGACAATAGGCAACGCATTGTATTTCATCGTAACCAAACGACGCGACGGGCCCAGAAGATAACGCGAGTTAAGAGGTCAACCAATTCGCTGATTCCAACTGCAGGATTGGTCAAGGTTAGTTATAAGTTCGTTATTAAGTTCATGTCTGTAGATTTACGTAGGATTAGGTATGTGTATATTTCATTAATAGGTGGATTTTTTGCTTTATAATAAGAGTTTCAACGGTAGGGTGGCCACCTATTTTTTTTTATTATATCTCACTAGGAGGTATTTCTAGCAAATAGAGTGGTTTTTTTGTAAGAAATCCTGGAAAGGAAAAGCCTATTCGGTGACCAATTCGTATTTTAATTGTCAGTCAATATACTGGTTAATTTTGCCTAGTGTTTGTTGGTTTTTTTTTGAACAAGTAAATATACCCACCTAGAAGGAGTTTAAAGGAGTTCGTACGACGAATCCGGGAGAGGTTTGCAGTAAGCATCCCGGAAAGCAAGAGGGATTGTAGTGTATCTGAGCTAGTCGATGGTAATAAATATAATAGTAATTGTTGCATCCCACTAAATCTGACAAAAGAACGCAAAATTTAAGTTCCAAGTCCCAATAAAGAATTACAACCCTTTAAGGGAATTAAGCCCCAAAAACAAACAACCCGTTACATAATACACACTGTGTTTATTTACTGCTTATTTACGCTGTAGCAACTAGTGACACAATAGTGTTTTTCACTTCACTAATTAAACTTTATGGTGTTATTGTAAATTATGTTTTAGAGAACGAAGCAACTGGCAGTCAACTACATACTGCTCATGATAGTGAGTACTCTGATGGCCCTTCAGAAGCAAGTACTGTCCAAAGCACTGCACATGAGGAGGAGGCTACAGTGATTGAGTATACCGCAGTAGAGGACATACCCATTCTTTATGACGTAACACCACCCACCACTACAGGTATAGATTTCCTACTATTGAATGATTAATTATAAATTTGGCCATTAATTTAAAAAAATGATTAAGGGGCAACATTATTAGTCCATGGCGTGTTACAGGTCATAATAGTATTGTCATTACCACTTGATGTTTATAAGACAAAAGTCAGCACCTTAATGTATAAGACCATAAAGTTCTCCACCTATATTTTTTGGTGGAAAGCACGGTATATCACCGTGGTGGAAAATAAAGAAAATATTTTTATTTTTAATGTATTGTTTTAGGCACCGATAAGCAAAAAATAAGTGATTTTGAACACGCATTGCTAACTGAAATGCGTGAAATAAAAGCAACGTTGGATGTAATGTCCATTCGATTACGGCATATTGAACGACGTTTAGAAGTAAACGTACAACTCGATCGCATCGAACCCAACCTCTTTACTGATTTACCATGTAAATCTTTACAAGAAGTAACAGATTTAGAGGCAAAACTGGAAGATGATAAGATTTTCCAAAAACTGGTAAATATTTTTAATTTTTAAACAAAAAATTCAGTTTATTTTGGTTATGATGCAGTTTACTTTGAATAAAATGTAAATTATACCTGAGTATACATATGTGTACCTATCATTTGTAATTCTTGTTTTTCCAGATCACTATCTTGAAGTATGTAGGCGGTTCGAACGCAAAATATTGTGTGACAAATTGTTTGAAAAAAATATTTTCAAATATAGTAGGACAATTTTGCAGTTGGACAGGGCAGAAAGGAAACTTTAAGGTTGCGGATTTGAAATTAATAATGGCAATTAGAGGTAAAAATACATTTATTTTTTAATTTTTAACAATGTTTTATTATATTGCATTAAGTACCTAGATGACAGTTAATAGGTCATATTTTAACGCCAGAGAGAAATCTGATTTTTTCAAAATTTTTCAAAAACCAACAAATCCTTCAGATGCTGATGTTATAGGTTCCTCCTCTGCTATGTTTTCCACATCTTACAATTCTTATTGACAAAAGTTAAACTTTCACAATTTCATTCTTTGTCCAATTGGCCTTTTACTTACTTTTTTATTTTTGGTTACAGAAGCAGTAAGAGCCACTTTTGCCCTGACGGACGCGGATTACCAAAGTTATGTGCAAGTATGGTTTCAACATGCGAAAACAAGGCATCTGCGCGAAACAAAATAATTTGGCATTGTAAATATGTACTATTTCATAATTTTAAGGTTCATTTCTTTTTATTTCATACAATATATTTTTAATGCATTTGGTACATTATTTATATACCTTGCAGAAAATATTCCCAAAATGTTTAAATGTAATGTTTATGCAAGTTTTTTTTTGAGAGAATGTATTGAAGTCGTCAATTACATATTTCAGGAATATGATTTCTGTACTTATTGCAGAAAAGTTATATGTGCAACATTGATTTCACGTTACTTTTTGAATGTTACCTAAACAGTTAGTAACCTCTCAGAAACATTGCTTAAACATTGCTTATTCATTTCGTTTGTAACATTGAATTCTTCAACCTTTCGGTAAGGGTTTAGAACGTTATGGTAACCTCCCTAAAAGCTCACATCTAATTGATTTGAAATGTTGCATTTAATTATGTGATGTTTCTATAATATTGTGATAACATTTTCTTGTTTACTGGGAAACTAACATGGCTGCTTATTTGAATATTCTCGCTTAAGGCTAGACAGTACATGATTTTCACGTCAGAACGGAGTATGTAAAGTTGCCTATTATAATACACATTTTCTATCTGTATAAAACGAGCAGCGCGTGCGGCCGAATCGGGCCCGTATGCGCGATAAGTGTAAACTTATCACCAGATTGCTGATTCCTTTGAGGTTGCCAATTATAAATGAGGAGCAGACTTGCAAAACGCAGTTTGTCCAAATTTTAAATTTTTCAACTGAAGGTGGCGTTGCAATATACACTTGAATCTCTATCGTTTCATATAATATTGGATGTCCAAATCGCATTATGTCCCACTTGAAATGTGTTGTGAAATTCACTTGGACATGCAAAATGCATTTAGTCCATCGACATTAGACAAACAAATAGCATTTTGTCCGTGAGACGAACAAAACGCATTCAGTCCAGCCGTAAACACGCTGTTTTTATAACCTAACAGTTAGGTTACTGCTCTTAGTGTCGTTTCGGTTTATTTTGCAGTATTGTGTGTTTAGTTTGCATCTTTTTCGCAACGTTTCAATTACAATGGAATCTGCAGATGGGGAGCATATTGTTGGTGATTGTGACCGTGGTAGCCGGAAACGACAAGCAAATTTAACATCCAGGGAGAGAAAGAAGCAAGTCAGATATTCAAACCATGATCCTGATTTACAACAATTTAATATAGTTTGTAATCATAAGAATAATCCAAAACTGCAGTGTGGGCAAGTAGGGCGAGATGATATACTTAAACTTCGGGAAGTTTTTTACAAAAATCCCAATAAAGTTATTCAAGATGGAATATTAGCCAGTAACATTGAGTTGGATATCCCTAAACGAAAAAGAGCTCGCAAATCTGATGGAAAACCGCACTCCTTGTCTGCAAAATATCATGTAAGTATAAAAGTACATACGTCGTTTTTGATAAAAGACTCCATGTTTTGAGTCTTACATACGTCGTGTTTCATCAACAATTTGGTGCAACCATTTTTTATGTTGGAAAGAATATTAAAGTTCTCGAGCTTTTGTTGATCTTTTACTGCTTTTTTCACTTAGTAGGTGTGTTATATTCGAATTTTTACAGGTACCTATATATCAGTCGACAAAAAGTACAAATTTGTCAAAAGTTTGTAATGGCTGTATACAACGTTTGTCAAAGGAGACTAAACACAATTTGCAAGAAACTCCAGGCTGGGGAGGAAATTATTTATAAAAGAAAAAAGAGGAGGCGATAGACGAGCTTTTAAGTTTGTAGACAAATTGGATGCTGTAAAGTCGTTCATTAGTCAATTACAAGGAAAAGAGAGCCACTATGGAAGACAGAAGTCTCGACGGATCTACATATCTTCGGAGTACAACATTTCTATTCTTTGGCAGTTATATAACAAAAACTCACCAGAAGGTTTAAAAGTGAATTACAAGTACTTCAGTCGGGTGTTCAGTAAATATTTCAATATTGGATTCGGCAGTCCTGCTACTGATGTTTGTAGCTATTGTGTAAGAACACAAACCAAAATAAGTATGTCTCAAAGCTCTTCTGAAAAGCAGAAAATATCCACTGAACTGAAAGTACACAAATTTCGTGCCACACAATTCCATAAGTTAATGAAAACTGAAGTGCCTAATACAGTTTCGTACTGCTTCGACTTACAGCAAGTTCAGGTATTGCCAAAAGTACCTATTCAAGAGGCATTTTACGCTCAACAGCTGTCAATATATTTTTTTTGCGTTACCAAACTCAATTGTCAAGAACCAATATTTTACACGTGGATGGAACACCAAGCAGGAAGGGGGGCTACTGAGACATCATCTGCCATTATTGATTTTTTAAAAAGAACTGAATTTCCTGAAGATGCGACGAAGATCCGTTTTTTTGCCGACGGCTGTGGGGGGCAAAACAAAAATAGTCACGTCATACATGCTTTGATGTTTTGGCTCCATACGTCAGGCGAAAAAATAAAGGAAATAGAAATTATATTTCCGATCAGAGGTCACTCTTATCTTCCTGCCGATCGAATCTTTGGACGCATCGAAAAAATATTAAGGTCCCACAGTCTCATAAAAACTCCAGACGCATATTGGGAATTGTACACTAAAGTGGGCGAGGTACGAAAACTTGGGTCTGATTGGAATCTGCTTGATGTAAAAAATATGCTGCAGTGGCTCAAAAAAGTGAATGGCATAAGTTCTTGCCGAAGATTTTTTATTAAAAAGAATGTTTCCGCCAACAATATTTTAGTGAAAAGTGAAGTACTCTATCGCACTGATACAAACAAATTCCAATCTTTACTAAAACCACGCACACGATTCGACCAGGTAGTCGTGCCATGGCTACCTTTGGGACATCAGATAAAGAAAAAAAAATAGACAGTTTAAAAAAATTATTAGAATCATTATCTGGAGAAAAGTGGAACAATGATCCAGAACTGGCATGGTTAGTTCCAATTTTTGAAGAACAACGTGAAGATGGGGAAATAGAAGCAAATGAAGAATGTGAATGTAACGACATGGAAGAGGTTAATTTCATTTAAAGTTTGTAAATAATACAAGTAAACGTTATCGACAATATGTTTGTTTCATTTCCAAATTTATTATACCCAGTGATCTGTTGGATGGACAATCAAAATGCTGTTTGTCAACTAGTGACCTGCAAATAGCATTTTGTCCAACAGTTTTTTTGAAATAGTAAAGCCACTTTGGCTTTTTCCAGTCTGCAAATTTAGTAATTTCTCATGCTATTTTTAATAGATTTTTTAATACCAAACGCAAGTCCGTAAGTAACTCGTATTGTACGTAGTAGTTTTTTGTCATTCCTGAAAATTTACAATTTTGGACAAAACGCGTTTTGCAAGTCTGCTCCTCAAATGATAAAGACACAATATCATCGAATTTTATTCAATGGTAATATTACACAGCTACGCTCCATCTAAAAAGAAAGCGGTTTCGTATGGATCATTATTCTTACATTACCTATCTATTTTAGCGTGGAATAGAAGTCTTTCGTTTCACTTTGCCATTCGGGTTATTTTTTGAATTGCTAATAGAACTTTGAATATTGTTTTGTGGATTCATAAAGTAGCAATAGTGTTTCCAAATCGAGTCAGACTGCAAAGGGGACTGATTAGTAATTAAATTTTTTTTTCTCTGTATTGTTACTAACGCTACTGGATTGTTATTTTGTTTTACTGGTATTATCACATTGTGATTCCGTGTTGCACTCTTCAGTATTTCGTGTCCATTGACATCCCTAAGTACAGACAACGAAGCAAAATACTTTTCGAATCATCTATTATCTAATTTGTGTGGATTTGGTAAAAATGGGAAGAAAATACGGACGACATCCATCAAAATCAACGAAACGTAAAAGCGTAACAATGAAAAAAATGCGTCAAGTCCAAATAGAAAAAATGAAAAATAGCTTTTCAGCGGCATCCGAATTCGTATTTGATAACTATAGTTCTGATGATTCAGAGAAAAGTAATGACAACTTTGTTAGGGGTAGTAGTCCTGATACTCAAGTGAATTGTGATGATATAGAAATGTGCACACAGGATACTGATAACAACTCAGATGACTTAGAAGAGTTGTTAGTAGAATTAGAATACAATGTTAGTGATGACATTCGCGAGGTAAAAAAGTCTACTATCACTGGACGGAGAATAGTAGATATTAAATATTTTTTTGAACAACTCCAATCTATAAACCATAAGGGCTTTAACTGTAGTTTGCGAGATGTAGATATTATCAAAGAGCGACGGATAGGATTTGTGAGTGTTATAACGACCAAGTGTAGAATGTGTAATGCAGAGGACGTAATATACACTGAGAACCCCGAGAGCAACGAATTGGATGTTACCTCGGCTGCAGTGTCAGGTAAATTTAAAACATACATGTGCCATAGTTACCCACTAATCAAATATATGATTAGTAGGTACATATTTCAAAGGGAATGTGAAACAAGTAAAAAGGTTTTCGCCCGAAGGCGCGTATTTTAGCGCATTTTCCATGCATTTATCAGTACTCGCTATGTTTTTCTTTATTAAAACCATCTGTGGTTAAAATTTCAAAGCAATATCTGAATAAATAAGATAGTTACACTGGGAAATCTACGCATTCGCGCATTTTATTTTTACAATATGCGATATGTTTGCTTTTACTAAAAGCATCTTTGGTTAAAATTTTAAAGAAATATCTCCATAAATAAGAGAGGTTGCGCGCATATCTGATTTTTACTACATGCGATATGGTTCAGTAGAAGTATATTCTGTGGTAAAAATTTTAACAGAATATATTAATAAATAAAAAAACTGATATTACGCAGTCTGTACATGAGCACATTAATCGTCAAGTTTTTCTTGGCTCAGATGCCAGAGCTATAATCTACCGAATTAAAAAAGAACGAACTAAATATATTCAAAACTGTAGGAGTAGTTAAGGCCTCGCACGGACGTATTGAGAAAGTGGCTGCAATAGCGCACACAACTTCGTTGGAAAATGCGCTATAA